GTGCGTGTTGACGAGGACACCTACACCGCCGACGCCTCTGCTGTCGCATGTTCCAGGGAACAGTTCTTCTCCAGTTTCAAATACAGCGTGCAACGGGCGGTGCCTTCTCGTCTCGTTCAGTCCGATGACGTCGTACTTGATTTTACTAGCTTGCATCATCAGGTCTTCTATACTCGCTTCCGATGCAAGCGTCCGTGCGTTGAAAGTACAGATCGCCATCTTAGTCCTTCTCCTTTTGGGCAGCGTGTTTAGGCCCTGAGGTTTTAGCAGCCTCTCCCGAGCGGTCCTACCCAACGCCGCCGTATTGGGGTTCCCTCAGGTTCAGGGGAATGAGGCTCATTTCTGTTACTGTTTTTGGCAAGAATATCCACGTGTAACTTGCCAGGCTCTAGCACGTGGGGGCCACTCTTAGCCGTGAGGACATGCAGACGTGCCGTTAATTTATATACATATATATATATATTTATAAATATAATTGAATGGATAATGAAAGCTCCAAGCAAGGTTACCATCGAACAGTAGAAAAATGCTGGCGAGAGCTTTCGGACCAAACAAGCCGACATCTGATGTTAAAGACGAAAGCATGTGGCAGGGCAACAGGTTGCCTCCCTTTAGGTAGGAAGATATTTCCCCGAGAGAGTCCTTGTCCCTAATCCAGAACGCAGTGATTTAGACGTAATTTACCGGGGCTTGCCGTGTGCAACTTAACGCGTGAAGAACGAATTCAACCGCGACATCGGGCGGACGGATAAGGGGGACTCAAGCGAGGGGGCCGCCATCCCTCCAGTTCATCGCGCGAAGCGGCAAGCCGGTCAATATAAAGCCTCGCATAACTGGAAATTACCGGAACTTCGCATTGGTGCACATGATGAAATACTAAAAAATTACAAAACCCGGTTTTTTTACTTAAACAAAATGGTAAAGCGGACACGCCCACACGCCGCACGTTCACACACCCACCGCGTTGAGGTGGTAGGCCAGCGGGTGGCATAGTTGTTTATGATTAAAATATATTCTTGTGCCGTGCAAGGTTGTCAGGTGGAACAGTCTATTAATTCAAAGGCCTAACTTTTCGACTCTATCATCTTCTTCAGAGGCCTAAAGCAACTCGAGATGATTTGCGCACTATCCAAAAAGCGCATCTCCCCCTTTGGCGAATCTGACAACAAATTCAAACCCACAATTCGAATCTTAACTCACCAGGGTTCCACCGCTCAAGCGGGTGTAAATCCGCTGTCGCCACAAGCGACTGTCAGTAGCGAATGAGACTTCTTGTGCTGTCTCCCTTATACGCGTGATAAGGAAGGTCACGTCATAATGCTACTGATTGTGAGTCATAAGCCGCAGTGCGGTATATACGGCAAAAGATCGTTGGTTGTAGACGGGCAGTCATCTCTACCTTTCCTTCTAGGATTTCTTCGAAAGATCCAGAACTCCTCTAATGCTTTTCTCACTAAAATCTCGGTCTCCTGCACCAATATCGTGCACTTTACTCCAAAGTTGTTGCCGATGTGCTCCTCAATTTTATGCCTACCAAGCACTGTCATCAGGCTGCCACCCCTCATACTAGTTAGGTGCTCCTTTACCCGTTTAGCTCGTATGGCTAGTTGTCTTCCCATTTATCCAATGTATGTTGACCCACGTGCCCCGCGTTTCATTTGGTGGATCACGCCTATCAGTGCGCAATCACCCATTTTTCCAATAAGGACATATGCTGCAGTCTTTCGTTATGCACTGCTTGTCGTAGAGCCTGTTTTAAACTAATAGCTGCTTGATGTTGTTATAAGGAATATTCACTAAGTACAACATCTTGCGACCCAGCTCTAAAAATGCTCCACTGTATAGCATTTCTAACTTTATCGGAAATAAAGGGAAGGCATAATGGCAACTTATTTTGGGGCGTAGCACACCGCGTGTTAGTGCGATATTTCCTAAAACCTCCTGATGCTGTATAACCGTTCACAGCAGCTATCGCACAAGCTAATAGTAGTGATTCGAGACTTTCAATCTCACCTGTGCAGACACTTGTTGCGGTTCTCAACATGTTGCTGATGACTGCACGTTTAACGGCTCGGATGAGCTGATGTAGCGTGAAGTAAGATACTCGTAGAACTACATAGTTTCACGGTACTACTTCACACTAATAACGTCACTGGATACTTTGACCTGAGTGTTGAGGTAAGGGAGCCAACCATCATGTGAAACCTCTCGGGTGAGTTTAATGTACTGCGACTGTTCACTCATGACTCGAAAACACTCGTCCATTTCGAACTGTGTTGATGGGGTACGTGTACGAACAACCGTCCGAGGATGGGCGCGGCAAATTGCGCGGCGAAGTTCGCAATGATTTGAACGATTTTGGCACCTATCACTGGGCCCAAATTTGAAATAGAGTGGATCAGGAGGATCATCTGACCCTAACTACTTCGAGTTTGCCCCGAAAATGGGCGCCGCAGTCGTACAAATCGTCACGAACTTCGCCGCGCAATTTGCCGCGCGCACCCTCGGACGCACGTTCGTACCGTCCCCCGTGTTGATGTCACAATGGAACAGTCGTCGGCATATCTACAGTACACTGAAGGAATTTTTCTGGATGAAAAAAGTTGGGTTTGGATTGGTTCGATGGCGTGGCAAGTTTTTGGCCCGATTTGAGGAAGCAGAGATGGCGCTCGAAGTCATGACATTATCACTCGTGATTCCACGGTCTGGAATGTAGATTGCCCGTCCGTGGATTCGCGGCTGATAATGTCATGACTTCGACCGCCTACTCTTCATTCCGTTCGAGTGAATTTGTGCTTACCACCCAACACTCGAACAGCAGCGGTTACAAGACCATCCTTTAAAAGTACTTGGTGCAATGCATGCAGCGGTTTCCAGCCGTGAACTTTGTATTTTATGAGGGCATACTGCCTCCATTTAAGTACCTCAGTAAAAGAGTGGTTCCGAAATAGAATTGTAGTGTTCTTCGCTAGCAAACCAAATCTCCCGACTTAAATCTAGTGGAGGATTTTCGCCGTCAAGGAGGCATGGGAGCGCATACATATGGAAGCAATCCGCGGACTTGTCCGAAGCGTGCCGATTCGGGTGGTTGAGGTCATTGAAAGGAAAAGAGGTGTTACTAAATTTTAATTGTCATATTCAATTGTCATAATTGTTTGTTATTGTTTTGTTTCAGATAACATCCGTTGATTGTATTGTACGGAAAATCTGAACATAAAAGTGAAATCACTTCCCGGAGGCCATGACTTCCGAAAAAATGACAAAAAAACTATGACATTGATGATATAAATTCCGAGAGATTCCTACATCGTTGAGATACTCAAGAGAATTGGGGTGAACCTATACTCTGGGACACACAACATATATTCATTACATTACCTGCACAAAAGTATTCGCCTTACAAGTATTTTAATGATAATGTTTTTCGGTTCATCTTACAGCCAAACCTGTCCTATAATCTGGTGGGTTTTTATATAATTTTACTTGATCTATTCCAGAATAAGGGTGAAGTGGTGAAGTGCCAAGTGACGCACCATCATACTCGCACGGTCACGTGTTCGAATCTCTGACCGATATCGCATAGAAGAGATACTTCTATAGTCGGGTAAATGGTACCAGATTCGTCTAAGAGGACGAAAAGGATAGTCTAAGATCCTGAATGAAAGTCGAATGCGTCCCCCAATCCCTCAGACGGGTCCTCAACGATCGTTGATCACCGCTCGAAGACTTCATTCCATCTATCATACCAGCATTTCATTCTAAAACTTCAGGAAATCTCTGTTGCGCCATAAAAATTCTCCTTGGATAGGAAAACAAACAAAATCCGTTTTCTGTTAACTCCATGCGAACCAAAAAAGAAAAGAAGGCGACAGCGCAATGAACAAAGTGGTCACAAATGACGAAGCAATCATCAATAGGCTTGAATTCAGATCCTTAGGGATGTTCGAACTGCGTACATGCTGCTCATACGGTGGACGGCAGACTTGCAAGTCAATGCTTCCATCCTCCCGCGGTCATCTACAGTGCATTTCATAATTATAAGGTCACCCTCAAATTTTGCACTTTCAGGAAAAGCAATTATTAAGGATTTTTTTTCTAGCATTATGAACGGATTCCCCAGCACGAATAACCTAGGTTTCCGTTTTTTTAGCCGCAGCTGCATTTTTTTTTTGAACTTTCTTAGAACAGTTTATCGGTTTTTGCACCGTTTCAGAATTATAAGGTCACCCTGAGAAAGTGAACAATTATTCATGGGAGAGAGAAAATTTCTTGTTTGAAGATACTTATAAAGGTAAGCATGTGTAGCAAATGCATTTCTGAACCTGGCTGTCAACATGGCTCGTGGTCATCTGCTTTCCTCTGATGAGAAGGCTCATCATGAAGGTGGGCTCAGTACTCGAGCCATCTCCAGGCAAATAGTGAGATCCCCTTGGTCCATTCAAAGATTTCTGGAGAGCCCTGATGTCCCTAGATATGACACCGGCTGTAGACACCCATGAAAGATTACTGCCCGTGACGAGCGGAAGATTCTGAGGACTGTTTCCAACAGTACGTCCTCCTTGAACCAGATCCGATCGGAATTAAACCTCTCTGTGTCGAAAACTACAGTCTGGAGAGCAATGAGAAGATGCGGGAACATCACCAGGCAAGCAATGGAGAAGGTGCCACGAATCACCGATCGCCACAGAGAGGCTCGACTCGGATTTGCAAAGATGAACCTGAGGAGAGATTGGGAGAAGGTAGATCTGCATCGAAGTCTCACCATAGAGATGAATAATTCCTATTCAGGTCATCGTTTCGGATGAAAAGAAATTCAATCAAACGGTACTGACGCGACTTGAGAAAGGAACCAGTCTACTTCAGCCGCCGCAGTTTCGGTGGAGGAAGTCTATAGTGGGGGTGCATTCTGCAATGATGTCGTGTTGGATCTACCTGTCGTGAGCTGCAGTATGTATTGCAAGGATTACCAGAACGTCTTGGAGTATCATCTAGTATCCTTTCTATGCCATCGCCGTCACCTCAACTATGTCTTTCAACAAGACATCTCCTACATTCATGTAAGCCGTGCAGCGGATGAGTGGCTGCAATGCCAATAAATAGACGTCCTGCCATGGCAAGCCTGCAGTCCCGATCTCAATCCGATGGAAAATATCTCGGGCATAATAGACAGACAGGTTTATGCGAATAACCGTCAGTTCCAGAGCACAGAAGAGCTGAAGCGGGCGATTATCGAAGGATGGAGAGCAATCGATGAGGAATATCTTCGAAACCCAGCTCCTAGTATGCCACGCAGACTCTTTGATGTTGCTCTTGAACAAGGAAGAGCTATAGATTATTAAGTGTTGTGCATATGCCACCAACGTTAATAAATCATTTACTTTTTCAGGGTGACCTCATAATTATGAAACGGTGCAAAAGCCGACACTAAAAAAAAATTTGAGGTGAAGGATATTGCGACCAAAATTTGAATAGGGAAGTACATTGTGATGAGGAATCTTCCTGCGTTTGCCGAAAAAAATCCATTCCGGCTGCTTTCTCCAGAATCGCAAAAATCGAGGGTGACCTTATAATTATGGAACGCACTGTAGTACCAATTGACCAACCCGAGAGGGAAACTCGGTTGGCCTGGGTAAGTATCAGTATGGGGTTGGATCGTGTGTGGTGGTGGGCCACTTGCCACTACATCACCTCAACTCGATCGAATAAATAGGCAGGTTAACAATAAACTGAGCTCCAGAGTCTCTTCTGCTTCCTCATGTTGTCAAAATACATCTTTCGTGCGAAATATTCGTTAGAACAATAGAAGTCCAACGGGTTGACTCACTCGCGCTTTTCGACGCTGTTTCGAGGGCAGCTGGGAACCAGTTGCCTTCCGAAGCTTGATTAAGCACGCCAACACCAGTGCCGGTCAGTTGTAATGCGCCTTGAGCGAGTTGATACACTGAAAACCTTGACAGCTTCATTCACCAAAAAAAAAGTATTTACAAAACACTCTAAAATCTAACCAAGTTTATGCAGAGAAGCATTATTTCTTCTCCTTTCAAAAAAGAAACGCAACCCGTATTAAAATTAGCTTCCCAGAAGATTCACGACAAAGACAGACCTCAAAATAGATGCTCTATTTATCAGTTGATTCGGGCTACGCAATTATACTTCATACATTTTTAATTATGACAAATAGATTCAGGTTGTGCGCACAGGGTTCTTGAAACTTCTAGAAGGTGCTTCTATAAGTAGGACACGAAATTAGAACAATCTACATGGAAGCTTAGAAACATTTCTTCACCGTTTCCAGTTTGCGCATAGCCATTCTTTTAAAAGGCATCCGAATGAAGCTTTTCATCAAGGGAATCTTGGGTATGAATCGCAGAGAACTAAGCATGGAATTCCAGAAGCAGCCCCTAAAAAAATTGGTTACACTGTAACGCTCTGTAGAATCTAATGTATCATTTTCGATCAAACTAGCTGTCATGGCGCGGCGCAGCTGCTAGCAAACCGCCTAATCTTTTGGATCATTTATTTCAACTGGATTAAAATCTTTCGCAGCGGGCAATTGACATGAAATTATGATAGACAACCCTTCAAGGAAAAAGTTGGCGTTTTGCCAATGTCATGGTGTTCATTCTGTTGAACAGAATAGCATAGTATCAAATTGTTGCCGGGGCCGTTGATCACCGCCCACTTATTAAAATTTTTACACCCNCCCCCCCCCCCCCCCCCCCCGACCGTGACGCCATTTCCACAGACGTCCTCTTCTGGCATGTTTACAGAAATCAAAAATCCCTTACGCTGTCCGATCTGTGACAATGCACCGAGGGCTCCCGGTGCTGCAGCCGATCCTGCACTCGAAACTCCTGAAATGTTCTTCATTCAAGCTGACACTCTTCAACAGATTCAGACAAAGGGGGTATTCAGCATTGAGGCCGTTCCCTCGTGCTAGGTAGCGCGATACGGATTTCAAACGGCAACATCGTCCACACCACTCTTTACAACTTTCACCCGACGGATTCGGATGAAGGAAGAAACGTGGGATGGCCGCTTTCATGACCTACCTCCAAGCGCTGGACCGAGTCCTGACCCCAGTAAGGATGTGGCTATAGAAGCGATCTCAGCAAATTGGCCATTCGCGAAGTGTAAGAATGAGCAGAATACCAAAATAAATCGCATACCTAAAAAAAGCACATCGAACCGCTATCATAGAATTGTTGCGGAGATCGCAGTATTATAAGTGCGAGCAGAAGAAAATTGCAAAATCAATTGCAGAAGAGAGATCGCAGTAAAGAGTGGAGGGTGGAAGTGAACACGATCAACATCACGGACTCGCTTAAAAAGGAACCTTCTCAACACATAGACAATCGTGTAGAGGACGAAAAAAAACGCGGGAAACAGCACTAATTGGCTAGAAAGACTGAATTGAGTTGTTTTGATGGATTCATGATCTGATTCGATGGTCCAGAGAGGTCTAAAACTCTTGAGGATCCAATTCTAGAGCTGTGGATCGATTATGCCCGACCACATATATGGCTTACAGTCCGGCGGATGAGCTTGAGCGATTGACGAGGCTTCCCCAATTGTTCGCGCCGCCTCCTCCTTGGCCTGGTGGTACCAAATCAGGTTCTCCCTGTGGAAAGCAGTCCGCAACCAGAGGGGCAAGTGTCCGCACAGATTCCGAATAGCGTGACGCAGACATCATTCCAGCCCAGCACCAGCTTTTGCAAATTAACTTTGCATGCGTGAGCCCCAGTGGATCATATAATCTAAGCCTATGGGCTTATAATAGTATTGACTATTCTATCGGAACTCATACTAGTAACCTGGCGCCGAGACTTCAGTACCTTGGTTCCAACCTACTAATTTGAATAAAGATAGAAAATATTGAGGTGGGGATCAGGAAAGCAGAATAGAAGTAGCAACTAAGTCGACCTTTCCCTTACTCCCCTTCATTACCACTTCTAATATACTATTTAGTTATTTACTTATTTTATATACACGCAACGGTGCGCTTCAGCAACGAACAAGGGAAAGAAACCAGTTACAAATTTACACAGCCAAAAGTCAAAGAAAGAAACGCGCCATAAGAAACACAATACTAGAAGAGGATGCTCTCCTGGCTTTTCAACTCTAGAAATCCTGTGTGCCTAACAAAGCAGGAAGGTCTAACTTCTTCAGTTTCTTTTTGAACGTATCAGCATTTCGCGCGCGCCTTTCGCAGTTCTAATGGTAACAGCTAAAGTCATCTCGCTCCACCTAAAGAAAGCGAGTGAGACACACCAGAGCGATGATTTTTGTTCAGTTTAGGGCATTATAGAGATAACGAAGTGATACGACCTCTCTCGGTTTAATTACCCAATATGTACTTGCTCAATCGTAACTTAAGTCCGCCTTTCAACATTTTGAAACAGAACACTATATCAATAAACACTTTTCTGTGCTGTTCTTCAAATCGTTAGTTTTTTACTTCTGCCTCGAGGTTTGTAGGTGGAAATATTTATTCCGGCCGACGTTTCGACGGACTCGTCGTTTTCAAAGGCCTCACTTCCACCGCAAAGTGTAGCCACGCTACACGGTTCGTACATTAGTAGCGAAAGTTTTTGTGCAATAACGTTTTAAGTATGAAGCGATGCAACCGTTCATCATATCCCGATAAAGATTGTGGGTATGCTTTGTCGAGATAGCATCTATACAATAATATTCTCGCGAAAGTCTGTTGAACCTTTTCAATTTTCGCCTGAACGCTCTTAGTATGAGGGTTCCATATTTGTGAACCGTGTTCTGAATAGGAACAACAGACCCCTTCTAGAGCCTTAACAAATTGGAAGCATCGTTGTATCGAACATTTCTAAGAATGGCAAAAAGTTCAAACGAATACATCGATGTGGTGGGAACAATCCAAGTTGGAACTGATAACAAACCCAAGGTCACGAACTTCTTATGAGGTATTTAGTGAAATGATGTTGACTGTACGGTTTATCATAGCTTCACCCAAATGAAGCCAGATGTTTTCGTAAAGTTCAAAGGAATTTTCCAAGCAGTAGCCCACTTCATCATGTTACGAATAGATTGGGTTAGGGCCTGGTGTACTCGATCATGATTATCATTACTGTAAATGCCATATATTTTAATGTTATCGATACGTTTTCACTTCGATCGAAGGGTTTGTATTGAGATAGAAGGTAAGCCGTGTGTGTACGGTACAAATACCAAAGGAGACAATACGCACGCGGAGACCGCTGATGCAAGGAAACCTCTGTGAAAAACTATTACCCACTCTGACATACATATGCCTATCTTCCAAGTAAGACTGTATTCAGTCAAGAATACAGCCTTTGATTCCTAACTGGTGAAGTTTGAAAAGAAGCTTTTCATTATCCACTCTATCAAAAGCCTTGGACAAACCGAAATAAATAATATCTATACACTTCCCTCGCTAACAGCCAAATTCCAATAAAATATGCAATATGCCATCAGTGTAACTGTGGAAGCATTGCCAAAAAGAAACGGCGCTGTCCTACAGGTATGAAATTGTTTCTCATAAGATGAGAAACAATTTTGTCGCATAGTTTTTTTTCCAGGGTTTTGGCAGGCGGCGCAGTAATACTTATGGGTCGAAAAGAACATACTGGTTTTGGTTAAGTTAATTTAAGTATAGCGGTGCCGATAGACACTTTCAGCTGGAGGAGAGCTCGCTATACATTAGAGATGCATTGAGTATCATACAGTTAGGTTCACTCAACGATGAGGCGCAGTTCTTGTGAAAGATTTGAGGAATATCATCAAAAGGTACCGAAGTGGAGGTTTTCATCCATTTAAATGTTCTACACACTTTCTGGGAAGTTATCACACTTTGAGTAAAGGTTCCGAGTGCTCATAGCTCTAGAAGCTACTGCAGAGTTAGCGTCTGTTCTTGAGACAAAAACACATGAAATGAATTGCGGAGGGCTCCTGTTTTTTGGGGATCAGTCAGAAACCTCCCGCCGTTTTCATCTTGAAGTAAAATTATGCATCTGTGTGGCTTAATTTTATACCTGATCAATGCAAAATGAGCTTTCTTACGACAGCTATCCCAGACTAACTTTTTCTTATAGGTTGGAAATCTACGCAAATGATGATCAAGCTCTTTACAAACCCTTTTGTACTGAAAAATCCGTGAAGGATAGTCTTGTGACATGTTATAAAGCCGGGATTTTCAAGCCAATAAATTTTGGATATGTTTCGAATATCGCATTGCTGGCATCGCCATGGAATTAAAGGGAACATACACAGGTAAACCTGCATAGACGATGCGACAAAATATTTTGTAGTTGTCGTCGACAGAATGGTAATTGATTTTCTATTTCTGTTCATCACTTTTTGATGATCTTAATGAGAGTCTCCTGTAACTTTGATCTTTCAAGCACTCAAAGGCAAAGGCAAAGTTCACAAAAATTCTGAGGTATCTAGCATAAGTAAAATAATGGAAGTTATGGCGCAGAAAAGTGCAGAACTGGCGAGGAATGCGGGAAATCGGTGGATTCTAGAAAGTATTATCAGAATTGATAAGAGAGGGGGGTTTTAGGAGATCATGTGTTTGTAACCCCCATGTGTCTCCCACATCGGCGTACTATCACCTCATTTCGAATGTGCAGCCTTACCAGGGAAGGATCCCAAGTCGAAGTGGCCATTTGAAATGAGACCTACACTGCTAGACGTGTTTTTGGATGCTGAGTTCGAACCTGCTTTCCAAATTTGCCGGGCGTTTCTCTGAACAGAGTTAGGAGGGTGGTTTCAGGGAGCTTAACATGAGAAAACTTAAATTACATGAATGTTCCTCAGCTCTCAACGGCGGCTTGGTGTAGTGGTAAGCGTGACGTTTTGTAGGCGAGAGGCTAGGGATCGTGTTTTTTGGGGGACGAAATTTCTGCCTTATATAGAATTTTTCCCTAAAGGACTAGAAAATACTCTTGTGGTGAGATTATCACGTTTTATGACCTTTTAATGCCTTTGCTGATACCTCCTCCTACCTACCTACCTGTTACCGAGTGAGAGATTCCTCCGTGCGCAAAATTCGGAGGTCCGGGAGGGAAAATGCATATGATGAGCAATGATGATGATAGAGTGGGTGCTGATGCTAGAACGTGTGCGATAGTGCATAACAGCCCGGACTTACCAATATCGGCGCTGGTGATAGTGGACTCGAAGGCCAGAAAGCTATTCAGTGCACCTTAAATCCAGAAAAGCAGGTGCAGGGATTGACACTCTGCTCGAGGCTACTACGAAGCTAATGCAGCCCGATAAGAGCTTATTTCTCACTTCCTTTTGAAAATATGGTTAAACACACCACCTCATATGAAATAGCTCATGAACTCAACTTGTGCGTGTACACACGAGACCCATTCCTCGCTCACTACCACTTGTCCACTTTCACTTCTGTACGGCTATATTTTCCCCTTTTATTCATGGTATGCCGCCGGCTACTCAAGCACTCACCCGATGATTTCGGGACGCCTACACAATTCTGTTTCCCTTCTGATTTGGGGTTAGTAAGTGTGAAGGAATGGACTGTGACTTCTTTCTCATCCGTTGCTCCCATTGTGAGAAGCTTCTTTGTTTCAAACATTGCGTACTAGAGTACAACATTTGTTCATTCAAGTGACAAAAGTTATCCTACTGTGAATATGGAGTGCATGGGCATGCGATAAAACTGAAGTATTGCTTTATGTGGATAAATATCAGTAAAAGCATTAAAAGGTCATAAAACGTGATAATTTCACCATAAGAGTATTTTCTAGTCCTTTAGGGAAAAATTTTATGTAGTGCAAAAATTTCGTCCCCTAAAAAACCCGATCCCTAGCCTCTCACCTATAAAGCGTCACGCTTACCACTACACCAAGCCTCCGTTAAGAGCTGAGGAACATCCATGTAATTTAAGTTTTCTCATGTTAAGCTCCCTGAAACCACCCTCCTAACACTGTTCAGAGAAACGCTCGGCAAATTTGGAAAGCACATTTGAACTCAGCATCCAAAAATACGTCCAGCAGTGTAGGTCTCATTTCAATTGGCCACTTCGACTTGGGATCCTTCCCTGCTTAGCAGAGCCGTCGTAACCCGGCCACTTTTGAGTGTGTAAGGCCTCTAATTTGGGGACCCTCATATCGGTTCGTCGACGTCCCCCTTCGACCTGATAATTTCTCCCGTACTATCCTTCTGAGCCACAGATTCATTCTAGGAAGAGTTTTGGAAACCATTTATATCGTGAAATGTGCAATCAGGACCAACTGTCGAGTCAAGATGGATACTGTTACAGTTAGGGTATTAGGCCATGCAACATACGGAGCCCTTCTATGTGTAGTAAATACTTTATTTGAACAGCACTATAGAAAATTTGTACGAAAGAATGACACGGATCAGCCGTGAATGTGGTTTACTTTCCGAATGAAATATTAGTTAGCTGAATGGTAAGGCGATGACGGCATAAATACGTTTTGATAGGTGTTTAGACCATTGCCTCCATGCTACCGTATGCAAGCTGTTTGAACTTTGCGCATTATTGGGGTCACTACCCGGAACTTCTCCCCGAACTCACACGGCAAGCGTCGGTGGATCCGCACTACCGTACCCTTCCACTGGAATCCAATCTTTTTTTTTGATAGCGCGCGATTGGGATCGCTTGATGGAAAAGATACCACACCTCTTGTGCCTTAGAATACAATCCTAGTGTAACTTAGGTCATAAACTTCAGCTCACCATGTCAAATCAGCAGGTGATCTACAATATATTTATTTCAAAGCAGACCATAAACAAATTTCTATTTCCAGAGGTTCCATCAAGGTTCTGTTAGAAATCAATTTTTTCAATCACTTCTGCTTTTACCTGTCAGACTTCGGTCGAGCCATGCATATAATTTACTATAAAGCTGACTATTCCGATTGTTCAGGATCGACTTTCTTCCAATCTTGGCATGATATGTAGCAAAGATAATTCTCTTTAAGCCTTACAAGATTGAACAATTCATTAGGCCAACGTTTCGGCTGCTTCAAATTCTTCAGGGCCTGAAGTAGTGCGAAGCAATGTGTGGCATGCTCACCCAAAAGCCTCAACCAAACTCCAACAAAACCTCAAGTAGACCAGCAAACCCCCAAAGGTATTGATCGAATGAGGCATGGATTACTCACCTTGGAGTCAGGACAGGAGGACGACCACCCTCGTAATAACTGTTGCTTAAAATAACCGGTAACATCTCCCACTGACCTCATCGTAGATCAAAGATTACACCGGTCAAGGAAGGGTGCGAGTTCACGGGTTATGGCTACACACTCCTCCTTCTTGTTCATAAGGGGTTCTTTAGCGGTAATCGAAAACGCTTCCAGTGTCTTGCGCGCCGCGATCTCGGTTTCAAGCGCCAGTATGGACACGGAAACGTCAAGGGATAAACCCGCGTGGAATGAAGCACGATGGGCTCCTAGCGGGGTATGCATCCTTGATCCAGCCAGCTCACTTAGATGTTCTTTAACTCGAACGCACAAAGGGCGCCCCCGTTTCTCCTATATACTCGCATCCACAGCTTTGGCAACGTATAGAGCAAACCACTCCCACCTTCACATAAGGGCACACCACACAGTTAGGCGTGTCACATACAGTATCGTAGAGTCGACTACGAACAAGAAGCTTCCGAAGGGTGTTTGGAGGTATTTCGACAATCCGTATATCGTCTTGAAGATCACACCGTCGCACAATCGATCGGATGGATCTACTTACTTCCTCGAAAATGAAAGGCAAACTAAAAGTCGCCTTGTCAGATTGTGTTCTTTCCCGGACTGTCAGTGTAGAGAAATACCTCCATCGTGTTGACCCAGAGCACGGATATCCGTTGAACGAGGCAATGTTCTGGGCCAGACTACGTGAAGACTCCTTCTTCAGCTCAGCATCGGATGAAACTATATTTGCGACTCTAAGCATATTACTGACCACTGCCTGTTTGGTTTTTATGGGGTGCGCCGATTGGGAGCGAACAATTATGTTCTTACAGTTTGGCTTGCGGTACCATTTGGTTCTTGCTATGCCCTGTATTACCTGAACTTGGATATTCAAAAATGGCAACCAGTCCCTCACAGGCTTTTCCCGTGTAAACTTGATGTTTTTTGACTGCTTATTCAGGACATCGTAACAAATGTCCAATTCTTCCTGAGTCGAACATATGATAAGGCAGTCGTCAATGTAACGATATTATAGGATTGGGCCACGACCCAGAACTGCTTCTCGATTTTCGACATAAGCGCTATGGCCAACACAGGGGCTAATCGTTGCCCCATAGCTAGACCACGTAACTTGTAGTACTCGCCTGACCACCTGAAAACGGAGCATCCCAGGCACTCTGCCAAGGTCGTCATCACTTGCGTAACAGTGAACCCATGAGGGTGTAGATCAGGTTCATGTTCGCACAGTAATTCGTATATGGCCTCCAGCGCTGCTTCATTCGAAACGTTAGTGTACAGTGGTGTGACGTCAAAAGATTCCATCACACATTCTTCGTGGAGGCTAGCGCTGGACAACTTATTGAGTAGCATGCTAGTGTTGGTCAGGTGGGCACGGATGTACCGAAGCAATTGGCCTAAGATGATATTGAGAAACCAAGATATTTTGTCCGTCGGTCCCCCAACACCACTAACTATGGGTCTAACTTTGAATTTGATGGGATCCATCGAAACCATGTCCAAGATTGTGAGCTTATGCGTTTTAATCAGTACGTACAGGACGGGGCAGGCTGGTAGGTCACACTTAAGGCGACTGATGGTGGTATTAGGCAGACCTGCAGTCTTCGCCACACTACACCAGGTTTTGTTTAGGTTACGACATTGCTTTTTATATTCCTTTTCGGACGATTTGCAATATTATGTGTCGTCGCTTAGGTGCGATTTTGTGATTGCCTTATCAAGTTTTTGTGGGAGAACAACAAATTCTTCACCCTTGTCGCTAATTGACAATCGAATTCTACCCATCTTTACGCAATTCTCTGAGCCCACGTTTTTGTGAGCTCAGATAATTTGGGTGAGCATGCCACACAATGCTTTGCACTTCTTCAGGCCTTGAAGAAGGCGAAGCAGCCGAAATGTTGGCCTAATGAATTGTCCAATCTTGAAAGGCTTGAAGAGAATTATCTTTACTACATATCATGCCAAGATTGGAAGAAAGTCGATCCTGGACTATTTTGAGACGAGTACCAGCCAAATATTTTCGACTTGTGAAGAAAGTGCTGTCCTTGCGACAAAAGATTGTCGCTGTGAGACAGACCACCCACTTCCTGAGTCGCTGTCTTCATCACCGCATCACGCCAAACTTCATCAAGAACAAGCGGTTAGATGAGATATGTGGACTCCCAAAGGACTCTCAACAACTACGAGCGATCGAACGTCTAATTCTCAAAACGGCATTGAAATCGGAACGTAATTATCTGTATTCGTGTTTGAACAAATGTATTGCGAAAGAAAAACACTGTGAACGTTTCGTGCTGGATCGCCTTTGGGAGGAAATAGTGGGTGAGTCGAAAAGCATTTGTGGTTATATTCGCTCTAAGGCTAAGACAAGACTACAGGGAAAGTTCAATAGACTGGCGGACCAACAACGGTATTGTAGATCACGAGACGTGCAAACTGGTAACCTTGTTGATACCGACCTCGACGGCTCTCGTAATATGGACCCATTACCTAAATCGCGAGCCACGGTTTCAGGCAACATCACTCTCTCCAACGATGCGCGTTCTTACTAGAACTGGGTCCTAGTTTCGCTCCTGTACAGTCAAGAACCCCAAATGCTTCTCGTAAAATCGTAAGGTACTTGCAAACCCTTCATGAACGGCTCCGATATAGAGCTAACAATGCGGAGGGAAGGAGGTACGGCAGATACGGCGAAGAATTTCCCTTCTCTACCCTTTCCCTCCAGCTTCTATAAGCCCCAAGAGGCCGATGTTGCAATAGACACTAAGTTCCCACTGCTTGCCACCTCGGTCTTTATAGTGGTTCGCAGCATGCCGAAAAACAATCCATCTCAGACCTCCCCGCATCACAAAAACGTGGGCTCAGAGAATTGCGCGATTACGTAAAGATGGGAAAAGTATTGCACATAATATTGCAAATCGTCCGAAAAGGAATATAAAAAGCAATGTCGTAACCTAAACAAAACCTGGTGTAGTGTGGCGAAGACTGCAGGTCTGCCTAATACCACCATCAGTCGCCTTAAGTGTGACCTAGCTGCCTGCTCCGTCCTGTACGTACTGATTAAAACGCATAAGCTCACAACCTTGGACATGGTTTCGATGGATCCCACCAAATTCAAAGTTAGACCCATAGTTAGCGGTGTTGGGGGACCGACGGACAAAACATCTTGGTTTCTCAATATCATCT